AACCTTCACACAGACACCATGTATCCATTCCAGAGACAAGGCAGTCTGCTGCAAAACAGAAGTTCTGCCCAGCATGAGAAGAGATACGGATTTAAAAGGAAGAGCAGCAAAAAGAAGGGAAACAACCATGGATTACAGTAAGGCGCACATTACAGTATTGTTTTGTTAAAAAATCTGAGGGTTTAATGTCACTTTAATGTTATTATTATTACTATTAATGTTATTATTATTACAACAATCATTATTATTAAAATTATTATTATTACGATCATTATCATTACTATTATACTGATATTAATATGAATGCACTTGCCCTGTGTGATCATGCTGCTACATGATAGCACCAGAAATATTCCCTATACCTACAGAGGAGTGACGAGAGGGACATCATGCTGCTGCCATCGTCTTTTTCAAAACATGATCTGCCTACAAACGCTCACCTAAAATCTTGTTGGTTGAGGGTATGTATAGTCTAAAACTAAAAGTAAAAGTAAATCTGTATTTCTATACTGAATTTCCCTAGGTTCTATTCCACTCCTAATAACCATATTGATCTAGAAATTTGTAAAGTTACTTATTGAAGATGCCCATAGGATGTACTTCCTCAATGCACTGACACAATTTCCCTCAGCCTTATGAATATGCACTTCCTTGTGTCACAACTCACACAGAGCCTGCCGTCTGAACTACAACTCAACATCTGAACAATGTGATATCATCATTGCTTGCTAGAAGCAGTGCATTATGGGCTATGTAGTCTTGTGAAGATGATGAAAGTGATGGGCAGACGGAAGGCAGCACTCACTACATAAAAGGTTGGGGTTTTTTTCAAGTAAGCTTTGATTGCATTATCAAAAACAACTCTTTTATGTATTTCTAGTACAATGCTGATGTTATAACAGAACTGTATATGCTAGGACTATAGAATGCCTTTATCAGATGTAAAAGACATCACTGAAAGATACCACTTGTGTAAGATTGCTGCTTTAATGGTCATTATTTGATATGATAGATTCCTTTCATCTAGGGACTAACTTGAAATTGCAAGGGAGTGTAAGTACCACCATGCAGGGGTCTCAGTTCTATCTCTATCTCTTCATATCTATCTACAAAAAAATGGTGCAAAACCTAGAAATTATTATTATTACTATTATTAATAACAATAATAATAATAGTAATAATATAATTTACAAAATATGTAAGCACTACACATTGCATTTTCTATGATCTTTATTACCTTCCTCATATAGTTAATTCTTATACCATCCTTAAGAGAAAAAAAAATAGTTACGTTTAGCAGTTTTTCAATCACGGCTATACCAACTACGATCACACGATGGCGCTACTCATAATGAGCGCACAGCGAGCACTGCTGGAGGTTCCCTCTTGCTGCAGATAGTGGCAAAGAGAGAGCCGACTGGCTGACTTCCGCATAGGTGTAGGAGTTCTATAGGTTCCGGCAGATGCAGTGGCACAGCGCAGAGTGTACCGGAAGCTTGTTGTGTCCGGCTTTACATTTTGCAGCTGACAGCTGTCTTCTCAGTGCTGTAGCCGGACAGGGATGGTGTGGTCATCATGGTCCTCTGTATATGTGATCTCCTGCAACTGCTGGCTGCTCTGGCGGCTGTAGTGTTGCTGCTGGTGAGTAGAGATGCTGGTAATGGGGGCACTATTATATATATATATATATATATCTCTTTGTATTACAGTATTGGTAAATGTCCTGATTGCTGGGGCCAGCTAATAGATTGTGGAGGTGTGATCCTTGTATTCTTCCTGCTTTCCTCTGCTGACCAGCCATACCATCACATCTCTCATGTCCTCATTGTGTAGTCATTATATACTATGCAAGGAGTGTTTACAATGCATACATGGATGATTTCCTATGTGAATACATGTTATAGATGGGTATACAGCGATCTGTGGTCTAATCAAACTGTACAGAGTGATGATCTGGGGTGTCTAAGCGGTAAAGAGGACCTGTCTATTTTGTATTTGGCTGGCTGTATTCAGCTCTATACACATTGGCAGTAAAGTGTACCTGTCTATGCTGCATTTAAAACTGAACACCAGGGATGAAATATTTTACCTTGTAGTAAGGGCTTGTTCACACTGAATGCGGTGCGTTCCAGAGTGGTAGCTGCTGGAACGCACTGCAATCCCTCATAAAACTTCCCCCCTGCGTTCTGGGGCGGGAGGGGGCGTGGCGGTGCATTGAATTCAATGGCACTGCTCCCACGCCGCCCCACCCCCCGTCCGCAGTGCAATCGGATGCGTGTCAAAAAAATTTCTGCGTTCTGTTCCACTGGAAATGCAAAAAATAGAGCTTGCTGTAGATCCTCAAATCATCTCTGAATTGGTGGTGACACTGTCTTTCCTTCTGGAGGGTGGCTACTTTTGTTCTCCATGGTCCCTGTGTGTGTTGTAAAGTAGCCACTACTCCAAGCTCACTCCTTAACACACACAGGGACCATGGAGAACAAAAGTAGCCCCCCTCCAGAAGGAAGGACAGTGTCACCACCAATTCACAGATGGTTTGAGGATCTACAGCCAAGTGATACACAAATAAGATACATTTGTGTTAATAGTTAGGGTACTTAAATGCATTTTTAAGGTTTAAAGGAGAACTATGAGATGAGTGCTTTTCACTCACCTCATAGTTATAGCCGACCTGTGACAATGAGAATTCCTGTTGTTTTTTTACTGCTACATGGGGCACCTTTTAGAGAGATTTATGCTACCTCCCTGTCCTGCTAACAGAGTTTTACCTGAAAGGAAGTAAGGTCAAATCTGCAACAGGGATACAGACCGCAATACAATTGTGACAGGACTTCTAGCCTTCCCCTACTATGCTTTTTTTTCTGTCTGTGTTGCTCCCAGTCCCAGACAGGAAGTGAGGGGGAATTTCTCTAAGAGAGCCCCAGAACAGTAAAACCTTAAATATTGTAACCTGCCCCTCTCTATTGAAAACTAAGAAAAAAGTATACCGGAAGTATCGGGCTAGGCATTGGAGCATTTGGGCGAGTACGAGTATCGACCACTAGTATCGGTGCATCCCTAGTAATTAGAATTGTTTTTGATATGCCTAATATTTGTAGTGCACAGTATGCTACTTAAGCCCTGTGTCCAGTTGCGGGGCATGTGAACCCACACCAAAGTGAGTGCATTGACGCACATCATCACTGTGCTACACATTAGCTGTGCAGAGAGCAGAGCTGTGGGAGGGGCCCAGCAAGCTCCACCCACTACAGTCTGCCTGCAAAAACTACCGAAGAGGGCGGAGACAAGTCCAGTCGCCCTGTTCAAGAAGAGAGTGCAACATTGACCACTCTTTATTACAGGAAGCTCCTGCACAGATCTGGAAGAAATACACAAAACACACCCAAGATTCAATAAAAAATACATATACCTGTTGTGTTTAAGCAATATTTTCTTCTCCTGGGGTTCAGCTTTTAAAGAATCGGTTAGTAATACTTGTGCACAAGGTCTGACATTACTAGTAACACTAAGGGGTGTATAAATACCTTCATTGCTCTGTTATTTAAGAACTAAATAGAACAGATGAAGAATGGCTGACACTTGATTGACTTGTTCTGCAGGACACAAGGTTGTGAAGGTCTGAATACAGGGTGGGGCCGGCTAACTAATACCTTCAAATGACTACATTTTCATTTTTTTTTGTCCTGCATCAGGTGCAGAGATTTGAGAGCAGTAGTCTGCATAGCACATTAGCTCTGCACAATGGAAATCTGTAGAGGTGTAGCAGTGTGCCCTTAAAGCCCTGCCATTAAAGTACACTATAACGTGACCATTCTTTCATTCCTAGGTCGCAGTTGTAGCACATGTGACTGCCAAGAAAATGCCAAATCTGCACCGACATGACGCAGAAAAGTTCTTCATTGGAAACAAAGGAGAAAAAGAACCTTTTCCCAGCATCCACGACCCTCCGGAGAAAGACCTGTCTGTGGTTGTTCCTGCATATAATGAAGAAACGCGGTGTAAGTGGGGTGACAATTGAACTGACTCTGCTAAACCTGACAGCGGATTTGTCATATTTTTAATATAAATGAATCAGTAGCTTATGGATGTGAAGTAATTGCCTAGTTAACAGGAAAATGACACGCAAAGCTGAAATAGCTTTAAAAAGAATGTGTCAGAATAGAAACATGGGAGTGGCCAGTGAGGACATATGTCATATAGTTAGAGCTGCAGCTAACGATTATTTTAAAAATCGATTAGTTAGCCGATTATTAAGTTCGATTAATCGGATAAAATAAGTTTTTAAAAATGGCTCCAGTGATGGGAATACTAGTTTGTATTGAGATTGTAGTCCATCACAGGAGCAACTTGGAGCGGTGGAAGTAAAAAAGAAAAAAAAAAAAAGTGTGGTGTACAATATAGTGAAAGAATTTCGCGGCCAATCACAATTGGAGCCGGTTTCCCAGGGTATTCAGGAAGCTGGGCGGCATGTCATTACCTGCCGCCCGGCTTCTTGATTGGCTGGGAAGCTGGCTCCATGCCAGCGGAAGCACCGGTATTGGTGAGTACCGAAAGCAAAATATCGGTACGCGGTACTGAAAAACCTGTATCGGTGCATGCCTAGTTATAATGTAATGAAGCTTTTGTCCATGGAGTGTCCTTTGTCTGTGGATTCCTGACAGCATAGTAACCATTAGTCACAATGAATTCTCCCAATTTTACATAATTTAAAGACTGCGTCATGCCATTGTGGTGGGGGACAACTCAGGCTTGAAGCTAAGTATTGCAGAAAAAGCTGCTGCTCTATAGCTAAACTATTTTTAACGGGAGTTCTGCTTTAACTTCAGCCCAGCTTTAGAGAAACTGCAACTCAGCGGCTCTTATCGTCATAAAAAAAATAAACATTGGGCTTCGGCCTCATTTATACACGTATGATCATGCATATCTGCACGGCGTGTAATTGCCTGCAACCACCTGTACATTCCTTATGAGAGGAAGTGGCCACATGCCGACCCCAACCTGCCCATGTGCAGGTTGGGCTCTCAGAAGCAGGTCTCTGCACAGGTGTGTACGTCGTATGGATGTACACACCTGTGTGACAGGCCTTATATTCATAAATATGGAGGAATAAAAATGTGTAAAATCAATCCTTCTTAGCAGAGAGAGGTGGCCTGAATGTCAGTGGAGTAAGACTTATTTCTGTGAGCAGTCATCTGCTGTCGCCATCCTGTCTTTTAGCTGCAATCCCTTAGATATGGGGGCTGCGTTCTTTACCTTTTTAATGTGGACACTTTTTTTGTTTTTTCTTCTTTCAGTACCTATTATGATGGATGAAGCAATGGAATACCTTGAAAAGAGACAGGCATGTATTTAAAAGACTTTTTTAATTTCTAACATTTCCATAAGGTAACACAAACACTTTGAGAGAGGATAGAGAATGGTCCTCCAGAGGAATAACATTACAGGAGCTCATTAGTACATTTGAGCCTTCACTTGTACTTCACTTGTACTTCACTTGGCCCCATTTACACAGGCTAGTTAAAGCAAACCTTTGCACTAAAAAAAAAAAATCACATTCTACCAATGCATCCCTCCTATGTATGATGATTAATAATAACATAGACATGTCAGGTGTAAAATGCTGCGATTCTGAAATACTTACAAAGTGCAAATGACTTCAGTTTGCCAAAACAATGCACACTGGGATTGCCTTGTCATCACAAAGCATTGCTGGGAATCTCATCTTAGTGAAATACTTTTTCCTCCCCTGAGATGATGTGCATGGTCACATGTCCTGGTCACATGTGCCAGAAATCCAGGAAGTAAAAGGAGAGCTAGTAATCTGCCCTTAGTAAACATGGGCACGGTCAGAAGACGGGGAAAGAAAAGAGAAATAAGGTGTGCAAAGAATACAAAGCCGGCAATTATCTAGAAGTATGTGTTTGTACATTAATAAGCACAAAAGGGGCGCCTTTCCTGGTGCAGGTCAATTTTATTTCAGTAAACATAGAGTAAAGAACCGAATAATACTCACAAACATGAGTGTCACACAGCCATAGGATAAGAGCTGACAGGCAGTAAGATGTCCACTAGGCGATTCCCCCTTCATCAGAACATGATGTTCTGATGAAGGGGGCGTGCCCCGGAAACGCGTTAACGTCACTACACACAGGAATCGCCTAGTGGACATCTTACTGCCTGTCAGCTCTTTTGTGCTTATTTTCTAGACTCTCAGCTTTCCCGGCTTCTTTGGGGCAGCATCCTGCAGTATGCCGAAGAGGATTTCCCATTGAGGATTGACAGTTCGTGGCGCTTCACTGCTTTTACTTTGTTATGTGTTTGTACATTGTCATTACTAAACATTTCAAAAGGTGTGTTTGTTGTTATTTTAAAGGTCCACTTTAAGCCGCGAATCGCGCGACAGACGTATGCAATACGCCTAGGTGTGAACGAGACCTAAGACTGGCAGCAGATTCCTGTGGCAAGAATAAGCGGATTCTTGCATCTGGAACGAAAGGTGGTTTCGGACAGCTGTGGATAGGAGACGCATCTGTCGGTCACTATTCACATGTATCCGCATGTTCAGTGATTACCTGCACGAGAGACAGATGACCATGGATGTGATCTGTCTGCGTCGGGCGGCTGGTCGTCTGTCCCTATCCACAGGTAATCGTTGGATGTGCGGATACATTCAAATAGCAGTGCAGTTCCAGGCTCAAGAATCCGCTGCTGGACCTGATTAGCGCATGTAAATGGGGCCTAATAGGATAACAACAACAAAAAATCTAAATCAGAAAATATAATTCTAATATATGTCTGAAGTGGTTAAAAGGAAATTCCACCTTTTTAGGAAAAATAATAAATGCAGAGTTCTTTATAAAAGAAGAAAAAAAAATGTTGATTTATTTGTTTGCATTCGAGCGAATAAAGCATTACATTTGTGATCAGTGAATCGCAAGTGCAATGCTTTGGCTCCAGCAGAGTATTTCTCCCATCCATGTCTGTACCGAGGTATGGACACTCGGTAATAATGATGAGATGAAGTGTCCATGCACTACAAGGGCAGTGAACTATAAGTCCCTCTGCAGAGATGGCTGATGGGAATTCTAGGTTCTCCATTCACATCCTGTCAAATGATGAGGCGGAAGAGGGGTGGGGGGGGTTCCGATGTGGCCACGTTTCATGTTACATCCTGAATATGGGTGTAAAATGAAACCTTGTCCAAAAAGGTGCCTTTAGTACAGACCCAGAATTTCTCATCTGTATACTTGTTCCTGGATCACTGACTCAACGTGTTATAGCCCAAATATTAGCATGCCAGCCAGAGAATGAACATTCTCAAAAGGAGAAGTCAGCAGTGGCAGCCTCCATAATTCTCGAATGACAGGCATAAGCAGTGGCAGTAAAAGAAGCAAATGTGCCATGTGGTGAACACATTTTTGATTCTTTAAATAAATATGGAGAAAGTTTATGGATTGTATTTGGTTAACAAACTGTTTTAGATCTAATTCCTGCAAACTTTTAATTTGGGGTTTCTGCTACACAGAAGCAACGTCCATCTTTCAAATATGAGGTCATCGTTGTAGATGATGGAAGTTCTGATGAAACAACACAGGTAACCAAAGAAATACTAGAAACATCAAGAATTGCTGGGCTATTCATATGTATAGATTGTGAAAGGAAATAATTATGGTTTTACACAAAGTCACTTGTATATTCATGTATTTGCAACATTTCCCATAGACAAATACTGAAAGTGATGTGGAATGCTGTCATTAGTATAAAGCAGCCTGTATAAAAGTGGGCACTAGCAGGTACCTGCATGTAACAGTTAGATAGAAACTCCTCCTAGGTGCAGTTTGAGAAATCCTAGTTGCACCGTGGGAGACCCCCTAGCAATTCCTCCTAGCTGCACCGTGGGAGGCAAATGTACACTATATTACCAAAAGTATTGGGACACCCCTCCAAATCATTGGATTCAGGTGTTACGTGAAATGTCCTTGCTACTAAATATTCCACGGTCAACTGTTAGTGGTGTTATAATAAAGTGGAAGCAACTGGGAACAGCAGCAACTCAGCCACGAAGTGGTAGGCCACGTACAGTCACAGAACGGGGTCAGCGAATGCTGAAGCGCACAGTGCACATAAGTCAGCAACTTTCTGCAGAGTCAATGGCTGCAGACCTCCAAACTTCGTGTGGCCTTCAGATTGGCACAACAACAGTGTGTAGAGAGCTTTATGGAATGGGTTTCCATGGCCGAGCAGCTGCATCCAAGCCTTACATCACCAAGTGTAATGCAAAGCGTCGCATGCAGTGGTGTAAAGCACGCCACCACTGGACTCTAGAGAAGTGGAGACATGTTCTCTGGAGTGACGAATCACGCTTCTCTGTCTGACAATCCGTTGGGCGTGTCTGGGTTTGGCGGTTGCCAGGAGAAGGGTACTTGCCTGACTGCATTGTGCCAAGTGTAAAGTTTGGTGGAGGGGGGATTATGCTGTGGGGATGTTTTTCAGGGGTTGGGTTTGGCCCCTTAGTTCCAGTGAAGGGAACTCTCAAGGCATCAGCATACCAAGACATTCTGGACACTTTCTTGCTCCCAACTTTGTGGGAACAGTTTGGGGATGGCCCCTTCCTGTTCCATCATGACTGCGCACCAATGCACAAAGTAAGGTCCATAAAGACATGGATGAGCGAGTTTGGGGTGGAGGAACTTGACTGGCCTGCACAGAGTCCTGACCTCAACCTGATAGAACACCTTTGGGATGAATTAGAGAGGAGACTGTGAGCCCGGCCTTCTCGTCCCACATCAGTACCTGACCTCACAAATGCACTTCTGGAAGAATGGTCAAATATTCCCATAGACACGCTCCTAAACCCTGTGGACGCCTTCCCAGTAGAGGTGAAGCTGTTATAGCTGCGATGAGTGGGCCAACTCAATATTGAACCCTACGGACGAAGACTGGGGGGCCATTAAAGTTCATGTGCGTGTAAAACCAGGCGTCCCAATACTTTTGGTAATATACTGTATATGCAGACTTTTACCTTTTCAGTAGGTCAAAGCTTAAACATACCTGGCACATCCCACATTGCATTGTGGTAGCCAGTGAGCCATGTGGTCTACATTATGTTATGTGACAGTATTTCTGTAAAGCTGAAAGTGGGAAGCAATGGTGAGGGTACATTGAAGAGGAGGTTCCTGCTGATCCAAGTTTAATATTCTGTTCCTTTCACACCAGCTTCCTATATTAAAAATGCTAATATAGGTGACTGGTTTGCGTTAAGGTTTAATAAGGTAGTGCTGATATATACAATATGCTATACCAATGTATGCAGTTTGGGAACTGTCAGAACAGTGGAGAATTGTTGATTGGTGTGGGGATAACGCACTTTGCCCCTTGCTTCTGATCAGTGTCACCCTTGTGTGTACTTCTCCCTAGTGCATCATCTGACTAAAGAGAACCAGTTAAGGTGCCCATACACTGCTCGATTCTCCTATGAGAATCACAGGAAATCCCGCGATCGTACGAGAATCGAGCAGTGTGAACGAAGACGTGTGAAATGAAGACGTGCAACCGTTTCTACTGTACGGTCGTGCGTCTTTTGTCGAATCAGCATGCTTGAAAACCCGCCGAGAATCGTACGATTGTCGGCGGGTTTCTAGCCTGCTCGTTCGATAGCTGTGGAACGGGCCGGTGTGCGCACACTGCCCGTTCTGCATTGCGGTCATCGGAAGCCCGCCCCTCAGCGGGGCGGGCTTTCGATGATCGCAAGTACGATCTGCCCGTCCAAGGTGGGCAGATCGTACAAGCTTTCAATAAGCATATGACCATCGCAAGACAAAAGTCTTGCGATGGTCGTAAGGTGTATGGGCACCTTTTAGGCTCTCACTAACCTGTATGCAGTGCTTAGTGCTCCACGTTCTATGGATTGTTTTTGTAGAGAGCAGTGTACTTTAAATTAAATATTAAAAGGACAAGTTTTGTTAAATACTCTTGGCAATACTTCGAGCCGGTGTGTGACACTGCAGCTGTCAAATGCTGGCTCTATTTTCTGAGAACTGAGCAATCATGTGACCACTGAGTCAGGCAGCCCAGCCAAACCTGACAATATTGTCGGGATCCTTTCCAGCTGTGCTGTGCTGCCAGCATATAGCAGCATTCGCCTGCTATATGCTGATTTTGGGTCACAGGAGTACATTCGTAAATACTCCGGTGACCCTCTTTTAAATATAAAAAAAATTACTCAAGGTTAAACCGTTTTACTACAAAATACTGTACAATTAACATTTTTAAAAATAAATTTAGCACATTGAGGCACTGCTGCAGAATATAAATAGAGGCACACTTTCCATTTCCTGTCTGCAGTACCACAGCATACTTCCATACCTTTTAGACTGGATTCACACCTAGGCGACAGCGTTTTGCTCTTTTTTTTTTTTTACGTGAGTTTTTGCTGCATGTGTTTGCATGCGCATAAATCAAGTTGCACATTTTTGCAAGTAGATTGACACATTGATTTTAAATGAGCAAAAGCGTAAAACGTGCGCAGAAACGCAGCAAACACATGTTTTTGAGTGTATCCATTGAAGTCTATGGGGCCAAGAAGCACCTAATCTGCCAAAAAGAAGCTCATGTACTTATTCCAGCGACGGGCATCAAAACGCTCAGATGTGAACATAGCCATAGAAATTAATTAAATTTTGTTTTGATCATTTTTTTAGGGCAGAAAAAGGCTAGGTGTGAACCAGGACTTCGCTATACACCCTAGAGGGGGAGAACTTGACTTCCCACTCTACTTTCCCTCTTGTTCAGCATTCCTTTAAAGGAGAACTATGAGGTGAGTGCTTTTCACTCACCTCATAGTTCTAGCCGACCTGTGACAATGAGACTGTCACAGGTCGGCTCAGTAGATCGGGAGGTGAGTGAACACATCCCGGGTTCGCTCGCCTCTCGATCCTGTCACGGCTCTCTGCCGTGACAGGGGGGAGGGGCTGGATTCCCCGCTCCGATCTGCCAGCGCTGACTGGCAGAACGGACGGGGGAGGGGGCGGGTACAGCTGGCTCTGCCTCTAGATAGGCAGAGCCAGCTGTCACTCACGCAGCTGGGCGGATCCCGTCATCTAAGTCGTGATCCGCTTCGGCTGCGGCGTCTCAGTATACCGCGAGCTGTAGCTCGCGGTATACTGAGCTTAGGGTAACGGGAGGACGCTAGTTTGTGTCCTCCCGTTACCCTAAGGAGAACTATGGGGAAAAACACTGACCCCATAGTTCTCCTTTAAGGCAGAGCTCTTGGAAAATATATTATTAACTCTTGCAGTGGTTCTGCCCTTGCAACTTCTGCAAAGCTTGCCTATAGAGAGGAAAATAAGTTATGCTCACCTGATCCTCGGAGCCGGGTATTTGTTGGGCCATGCCCTCCAGCGCCTCTCCCCCTCTGCAGCAACGGTCTTAGCATCACTAGGAATACACTATCGGGGTTATTTACAAAAGGGTGAAGAGTTTGGAGAAGGCCGGAGAAGTGAACAATCTAGACAACATAGCTGAACTGGAAAGTGAGCTGGACTGGGGAATTTTTTTCATATCAGCTATGTTACACCAGAATGTTCACTTCTCCAAACTCTTCACCCTTTTGTGAATAACCCTGTATGTATCAGACGAAAGGATGCCAAGGGATATACATCACTGCATCGCAGGAGGAGAGAGGCTTGAGTGATCGCTGAGACAGCTGGCCAGCTCCGGGGTTCAAGTGAGTATAACTTTTTTTTTTTTTACTTTAGTCCCTAGAACAAAAGGAGCAGTTAACCCTTGCAGTGTGGGGCTAAGCCTATTTTTCCCCGGAGTTCTGCTTTAAATGTTAGTTTCTTCCTGCATGGCCCTATCCCCATTCTGGCGTTTTCCCCATTATTGCTCTTGCATCCATTGTGACTGTTTGTCTGCTCTTTTCTCCAGTATATCCAATCTCTTTCTCAAAAGGAAAGAACAAAAGGAATACACACCAAATAACTACAAATAAAGTTTGTAGCCATTTGATGTAATTATAGATTCATATGCTGCTCACTAACTTACTCAGTCACCGATCCTTTTGGAGTAAAGCTCTCACATTTACCGCAGATTGCAATTAGTGCTTTTCACAGTAAAGGTGCCCATACACTGCACGATTCTCGTACGAGAATCGCAGGAAACCCCGCGATCGTACGAGAATCGTGCAGTGTGAATGAAGACGTGCGACCGATTCTACTGTACGGTCGCACGTCTTTTGTCTAAGGAGCATGCTCGAAAACCAGCCGAAAATCCTACGATTTTCGGCTGGTTTGAATGATGCTCGGGAGACAAATGCCGAACGGGCCGGAGTGCACACGCGCACACTGCCCGTTCAGCATTGCGGTCATTGGAAGCCCGCCCCTCAGGGGGCAGGCTTGCGATGATCGCAAGTACGATCTGCCTGTCCAAGATGGGCAGATCGTACGTTTTTTAATTACTTTACAACCGTCGCAAGACTTGTGATGGTTGTAAAGTGTATGGCCACCTTTTTAGGAGGGCCCTGGTTTGCCCTCAGAGGTTTCCTCTCGGAAATGGCTGACCCTCACCCGATGGTAAATTGGCCATTTGCATTCTTCTGTGACCGGTGCTGAACTGCTTACGTTTCTGCTGAGCCACGTGTTCATAATAGGAACTCTTGTTTGCCCTTGCAAAATATTTCATTATAAATTGCAGTTTAGTGTGATCATATGGCAAAGAATATATTTTGTTTTCTGAACAATGCAGCAGGTCTAGCTGACCTAGCCGTGAGGAACAAATCCTACTGAATCTCATTAAAACTAATTGGTTTGGAACAGGTGTAGCTTTACACAATTACTCTGTGTATACAGGTGAAACTCGAATAATTAGAATATCGTGCAAAAGTAATTGCAGTAAGTGCTGCAAAAGGGGCCCAAACCAAGTACTGAGTACATATGCATGCTTGTACTTTTCAGAGGTCCGATATTGTTCTATGTACAATCCTTGTTTTATCGATTGCATGTAATAATCTACTTTTTAGAGGTTGTGGATTTGGGGTTCTTGGGGTTTTCATGAGCTGTAAGCCATAATCATCACAATGATGACAAATCACGGCTTGAATTATCTTGCTTTGCATGTAATGAGTCTATCTCGTATATTAGTTTCACCTTTTAAGTTGCATTAGTGAAATAAATGAACTTTGCACGATATTCTAATTATTCGAGTTTCACCTGTATAGCTGGATGGAAATGAAAAATTAGTCTAATTTTCTGCTTTTTTTTTTTTTTCTCATTTAGGTTGCCTTGAACTACTCCAAAAGGTATGGAAGTGATAAGGTCCGCGTGCTCACACTAGTAAAGAATCGTGGCAAAGGTGGAGCTGTGCGGATGGTGAGCAATTCTTAACTATGTTAATATTTTAAAGTGACACTAAACTCAGGACTTAAATCTTAAAAACACATTCAAGTACCTTAACTATTAACAAAAATGTATCTTATTTGTGTATTACTCGGCTGTAAATCCAAAAATCAACTCTGAATTGGTGCTGCAACTCCTTCCTTCTGGGGGGTGGCTACTTTTCTTCCCCATGGTCCCCTGTGTGTATTGTGCTTTTGTGGCTCGATTGCCCAAGTGCTACCACACTCAACATGAGGAATTCCATTGTTTTCAATGGCCCCTGTTTACACCTGAGTGTTCTGTCACTTTTAGCCTGATGCCCATGGCTCAAAAAGTACATGCACTTCTTGTCAGGCCAAAGCGAGCGTTTTGGCCTCATGTATATAAACTCAACTGTGTTGCGCTGTGCCTTATACTATTATTATGTGCAAATTCAAAAATAAATATGTATAAACAATAAATATGTATTTTCCACCAAAATAAGATGTGTAATGTATTATGATCTATAAAGTGCAATTTGGTGCCAAGTGCAAAACAGTTCAGGCACATGTATTGCACTATGCCCAAAACCAATGCTTGTCAATCAGTGCAGAAAATATTTTTATACGTTCCTTTTGTGCTAACACAAACCTCAAATCAATCCAATCATATAATCACAGTGTTAAAAATGCAGATGAGTGCATCCTACGTTATTCCAAGTGCAAAAACCACATAAGCCTGGTAATCAGTGGTGTATACAACGTCCAATATCATACTGTAGATGGTTAAATGAATAAGTGAAAAATTTATTTTAAAAACTTTCAATCCCCAAAGTGACACTGCTTTTTCTTCACTAGAATAGTGCACTATTATTTCACAATGTGTGACGGTGCTCCATAATTGCTCTCTTTTGCACTCACCAGATAGCCCTCAATAATGTGCTTTAATCAAAAGAGAAAGCAAAACAAACGACAAACGCACTCAACAATTTGTTACCAGTTATACAGTAAGGTGCACACATCAAAAGAGAATCTGCAATATTATTTCATTCCTTTTCAAACATCTCCTATTCAATCAGCATTGCATTCCTCTCCTCTCTCCCACCGTTCAGTACTCGACATACAGCTCCTCTTCACTAGTAGCAGGATCTATACTTGGATCCACTTGAGATCTCCGTTTCCACCTCCTTTCAATATTTCATCCAGTGGCGCTCAAAATGAAAGAATAAGAACTCCCATTGCGCAGTATCTTGATAAAACATTTATTTACATTTTTAAAAATGCACTTACAAACAACGAAGCAAATCAAGCTCAGCAGTAATCCTTGTAGTGGCGTGTATCAACCAGGAAACACAAAAAAAAGCGCATGTTTTTCAGGGGTTCCCATTAGGGATGCACCGATGTCAAGTACTGTACTTAGTACAAGTACAGATACCTTTCGAGCTCCAAGACTAAAAGTTAGGAGGCAGCTGTCATTTGTATGGAGCATACAGAGCACCCGGATTTGTACATTTGTTTTTATAAATCTAAATAAAGGGATGCACCGATACCAGTTTTGCAAGTACTGGTACTTGTCCAAGTACTTACAAGTACGAGTACTGATACATTTTTGTTTATTGTCATGTGACAGTTTTTCTAAAACAATACAGACTGACGATTTCAGGACAGTGGTGGAGTGCCAGAGCCAGATCCCAGCTGCAACCCTGGTAGTTCTCATGAAAATGTCAAGTATCGGCACTGGTTTTGGTGCATCCTAAGTTCCCATGTAAAGGCCCGTGGGGCCCAAACAGTTGATTCTGCTCCTGTACTACAAGTAGTGCATAAAAACGCATGAAAAATGTACATTGCAACGTGCAGAAGAATCGACTCTAAATCACCTATCTACACTCACGCTTAGGTGTGAATGGAGCTTCATACAGGACCATCTCCCAAATATCTTCAGGCCAGTGTTTGTGTGAGATGCTGTAAACATACGTACGGCTGACTTCTTGATCTAAGTAAGCAGTCGGGATGGGGATTATAAAAGAGATAAGGGGGGGGGGTTAGATTAGTGGACTTTTAATGGAAAACAAAAACGTAAAAAAGCTTTTTATGGAAAGACTCTGATGTTATGTTTAATAAGGAGTGTTTCTAGAAAATGATAAACGCTTTATTATTGTAACATTTTCCTTTTTTTTTTTTTTCTTGCCTAATTTTTTTTTTCTATGTTTTTATTGTTATTATTATTTCACATCAACACAATTATACCAATTTCATAAAACTTCTTTTAGACATCTATTTGTTGTTTCATATCATGAATGAACACATTCTAATTAACAAACATCTAAACATTACTTTCACTAACAGACATTACCAAATCCTTTACATTACCATTTT